CCCCACAGCTTAACTAGGAATTTCTTTGGCCGACTGGACTGGAGAATTGGATCTAATTCCTGCTATTCCCTTCTTGGCTGTGGGGATGCTGGAGCCGAGCCTGCTGGGTATTAAGTGGAAAGGGCCCGTTTCTCCTTGAGTACACTGTTCTACAGCTACCCCAGACAGCGACAGTCCATTGAGATCCAGAGGCCGGAGCCCCAGGGATGACCCTGGTTCCCAGCCCACCTGCTTCACCCGGGAAAAGCCCCTTTAGTCGCAGAGCCCTAATTCGGTAGGCTTGGGAGGTCATGAAGGGAAAGAGGAGAGTTATTGGAGTCTAGCCTGGACAGGGACGTGGGGAGAAAAGATAGCCGGTGAGAGGCCTTATGGGCAGATATATGCCAAACGTCTTCGGCGATGGGAGGGGGAGCGCCTACTCGCCGCAGCGCGCATGTGCGTCGGAAACTTTTCCTCCGCTTCGGACCCTTGGCCAGGTCCTGGTGCCAGGCATGCGCGGTGTAGCCGGCCGGGTCTTCGCATCGTGCGCAGGGAAGTGTAGTGTGTTCGAAAAGTAGGTCACGAGTTCCTACCGGCGCCCAGAGGCCTGAGAACTACGGCTCCCAGAGTGCTGAGCGCGCCACCTTGGGTGAGGCGAGCCTTCCGCCCCTGAGATCTCAGAGAGCCCTGCCCTAGAGAGGACTCTTGTGGTATGGCCCGGGTGGTCCAGAGTGTCAGGGAGGTGGTATCAGGGTCTAAGCCCGACGCACTCGTCACGTATCCTGGAAGTCCTGCAACCCATATTGCCGGTTGGGCGGCTGCCTCCGGGACAAGAGCTGAGGACTGATGGCTGGGGAGCTGCCTGAGCCTGGTTCCTGTCCATGGTGGCTGTTGTCTTGACCGTGTTAAAATGCTCCTCCACACGCATCTAGCTGAACCTTAGCGATTGATTGTAGGATGTTGGAAATTTGAGATACCTGAATGGGGTAGGGGGGGGGTAAGATATTCGAGATTCTTCACCTTTACCTCTTCTTTTCTAAAATATGAGCCTTTTTTTTTTGTCTTGTTTTGCGTTTTCATTAGTTTCTCTGGAATCAACATTGATGAAACCTTTGTGTAGCACCAGAGCTCCTTCCTTGTTCCATTTTATCTTTCTCCTAAACGCTAAAATACACATCAACACAAGGGATCCCAGTCGAGGTTTAACCCATGGCTGAAGTAAAAGAAAAGGAGGGAAAAGTGTTTGGACAGATTTTTTTTTTCATATATGTTGTGTGTGTAGCACAGACTGACCTTGAACTTCTGACTCTCCTGCCTCAGCCTTCTATCTGCTGCAATTACAGGCACTGCACACCTTAGCTTACATGCAACTTTTTAGTACATTGTCTAAAATGAGATTTTACTATTAAACACTTTCTGGTTTAATAGAAACTTCGAGACAGTTTCTCCCTATATAGTGCTGGCTAGCCTGTTACTTTCGATGTAGACCAGGTTGGCCTTGAACTCACAGAGATTCGTTCTACTTCCTGATTGGCACCACACTAGGGTACTCAACCTTTCCTTTATTTATTTTTTGTTACCTTTCTAGTGTTTTGTTGAAAAAGGTCTGAATCCTCTACAGCTGCTCAACAAATCTGCTTGTTCCTTTTTTGAAGGGTAGTTATTTCTAAGCTTGCTAATCTCATCATACTTCCATAAATATTTTATATATAAGCACTATAATTTGTCCATCACTTCCTAAAAAACAAACTCAGCCAAATGGTCACTCCTATCTTTAGATGAAGACAGGATAGTGCCAGGACTTTAATTCTCTGCTCTGTAAGCTTCTTGAAGTCAAAGTTAGAGTTTGAGCTGGTAAAGCAGGGACTCCCGTTCTAGTCATCTGGCCTTTCTATAAGGTTCCACACCATAGCCATCTGGCCTGGCCTGTTCTCCAATTAAAGAGGCCAAAGAGCAAGTTATGCTTCCTTGTTTGTGCAGCAACACCACTGAGGTATAAATTGGTGTGCAGCCTTAGTTGCTTATGCTGCAAATACTGGTTCCCTAGGATGATGACAGTGGTGCTATTGTATTTTGGGGTGAGAGGCTTATTTCCCAATGACTTTGGCCTACATTTAGAGTGTTCCCATTTTGAGGCTGTACCATTCAGGAGTTAGAACTTGGAAGGCAATTATACAGCAAAATTTGAGGACATCTAGAAAGGCGTGGAAGCCCTTCTGGGTAAGATAACTAAGAGGCTCTATTGTGCCTTGAAGAAAGTGTCATGATGACATTGAGTGTGTTTTACTTTCCAAAAAATTCTTTGGAAACACAACCTTTAACAGTAGGCCTCTTTTTGAGGCCTGATGCCAACTTTGTTTACAGCTTTTCAGTCTCTTCATATTGGATACCTTTAGTGGACCACCAGAGAATTATACATGGATATGTGTATCTTCATATGGGTATGTGCCTGTGAGTACAGGTACCTCAGGGGGCCAGAGGCAGCATATTCCTTGGAGTTAGAGTGTGTGAGCTGTCTGGCTTGAGTCCTGGGAGCCAAACTCAGGTCCTCTAGAAGAGCAGCATATACTCATTAACTGCCAAGTCATTTCTCTAGTCCCTCTAACCTTCATTCTTAAGTTACCAATTCAGAAGGCATGAATTGCTTGAACATAGGAGTTCCTGATTTAGTTTATTTGGCCTTGAACTCCTGGTTTTTTGTTTGTTTGTTTGTTTGTTTCTTCTACCTCTCAAGTGCTAAGTTTACAGGCTCATACCACCATACCCAGCTGAAGCCTAGACGTTCAAAGCCAGCCTGGGCAACATAAAAACCAGTATCTCTGGCCCCTACTTATGACACACACAAAAGAAAAGCCTACTTTACCACATAGGAAAAGGCCCACAATATCGTAACTAGCTTTGAGCATTGTACCTGGTAATGGACCTGACCCTCATCAACTAAGCCCCTTATTCTCTCCTTTCCCCCCCCAAGACAGCCCTAGCTGTCCTGGAACTCATTCTATAGACCATACTGGCTATGAACTCAGAGATAGGCCTGCCTCTGCCTCTCAAATGCCAAGATTAAAGGTGTGCAACATCCCTTATTCTTTTTAACTATTCTTTTCTTTAAACCAAAAGGACAGCCGGGCATTTAATCCCAGCACTCAGGAGGCAGAGGCAGGTGGGTCTCTGTGAGTTAGAAGCCAGCCTGATTTCCAGAGCGAGTGCCAGGATAAGCTCCAAAGCTACACAGAGAAACCCTGTCTCGAAAAACAAAACAAAAACAAAAGGACCCTAGAACCAGTCTATCTTGGTCATGAGTAGACATTTGAAGAGACTAGCAGGTTACAGGGGAAATCAGGGTTCCCTGAATTCTGAGCAGCCACTCCTTCCTGTCTCTTAGACATGGGCTGGGGGTGACTAAATGGGGTACTTATGTGCTCCCACAGATGGACTCTGGGTGCCTTCTCAGGTGTATACACCCAAGTCTTCTGAAGATTGGGTTCTTGGCATGCTCCATAAAAGCCCTGAGCACAGGCCTGAGAATTAACATGAAAACATGTCGCAACCAGAAGGAACATTAATCAAAATGCAGCCCTGAGTTGCACACAAGACAGAAGATGCCCTTGGCTCACTGGTCAACCTTGTCTCTGCTGAGGTCAGCACATGGCTTTGCTCAAAGGTCTAGCTAGAGATATGCTCTGGCTTTACCTGCCATAGAGGGGCCTTTTCAGTTTCTCCCCAAGCAGATAGATGTCTAGAAGCCATCCTTCTGGGGAAAATGACTCCCAGTACCTCACAGATCATCTTCCTGCAACAGGAGGCTTGCCCAGACCTAGGAAGTATAGCTTTCTGATCTCAGTGGGATCTGGCTATGAAAGAATCCCAAAATAACAATCTGAGTGTTTATCCTGGGCTGCCTCCTCTGTGGGGTTCTCCAAACACTTGATAAATCTGACCTGGTGCCGAGGACAGGTGGTCAGATGGTCCTTGGGAGACTGAGTGATGATGGTTTCCCAGCTGGAAGCTGTAGGGTGATGGAAAATTTCTTCCCTCCACCATCCTTATCACTCTCAACCTTGCCAGAAACTGTGGAGATTGCCTCAGGCTACAATGCTGCTTCTCTTTGTGCGCTGCCAGCCACCCAGGCCCTGCATCCTGCACTTCCCTAGGCTCCCCTGGTCCAACCATTCCCTTGTGAGCTGGCAGATTGTGCTTTTGACAAATTTTGCCTCTTTCTGTGGGGTCATGGCCTTGTCCCATTACTGAGGCTGGACAGAAATGCAAGCTTTGGTCATACTACCAAGTTCTTAAATTGATTCTGTAAACTGAGGCTGAGCCCCAAAGCAAACACACCTATGGGATCCAGGGTGACAGATGGATGTGACTGGAGTTCAAGCCCCAGTGAAAAGTTGGCAGTGCCCCTTCATGTTCAGTGACCTGTATCTAATTCAGTTTAAGGAGGGCAGCTATAATTTTGAAACTTAAATCTTCGAGCATTTGACAGTTTTGGGGCACAATTTGATGGAGACATTGCAGAGACAGCAAGAGCTAGATCCAGCTAGATTGGGGCCCTAATTTTATTCCTTAGTTATTTAATGTCATTCTGACAATGTCCTGAATTCTCAAAATGATAGAAAGCACAGTTCACTCCTATTTTAAGTGCCTACTAAGTACTTAGTATAGGGAGCTTTATCCTTGAACCTCAGGTTACTGATGAGGAAACTAAGGTTTAGAAAAAAGGGATTTGTCCAAAGCCAGGAATGATCATTTTTGCATGTAAGCCAGCACTTGGGAAACAGAGGCAGGTGGATCACTGCAAGTTCAAGGCTAGCCTGGTCTATTACATAGTGAGTTGTAGGCCAACCAAAGCTGTATAGACTCAAAAGGAAAGAAAGGAATGTGCCACTAGATCTCTGTGATCAAAAGCTGGTGGTTTTCTGTCTGTTCTGTCATTGGTCAACACACTGGCACAGCTGCCTAGTGTGTGCTGGATGCCTTTCTGCTTATGTATTCATCATGATCCTTTCCTTTCTTCTTAGAACCCTCTGGATCCGGGGCCACTCATCTACTCCTGCCACTGCTCTTGACCTGTGCACGTACCCTGTGCTGATTCTCTGCCTGAGAGAGGATCATGCAGCTGGAGATCAAAGTGGCCCTAAACTTCATCATCTCCTATTTGTACAACAAGCTGCCCCGGCGACGGGCAGACCTGTTTGGGGAGGAACTAGAGCGGCTTTTAAAAAAAAAGTATGAAGGCCACTGGTACCCTGAGAAGCCATTGAAAGGTTCTGGCTTCCGCTGTGTCCACATTGGGGAGATGGTAGACCCTGTGGTGGAGCTGGCTGCCAAGCGCAGTGGTCTAGCAGTGGAGGATGTGCGTGCCAATGTGCCAGAGGAGCTGAGTGTCTGGATTGACCCCTTCGAGGTATCCTACCAGATTGGTGAGAAGGGAACTGTGAAAGTCCTGTACTTAGATGACAGTGAGGGTGGTGGTACCCCAGAGCTGGACAAGGAGATCAAGAGCAGCTTCAACCCTGATGCCCAGGTGTTTGTGCCCATCGGCAGCCAGGACAGCTCCCTGTCCAACTCTCCATCACCATCCTTTGGCCAGTCACCCAGCCCCACCTTTATCCCCCGGTCTGCCCAGCCTATTACCTTCACTACTGCCTCCTTTGCTGCCACCAAATTTGGCTCCACAAAGATGAAGAAGGGTGGTGGGCCATCAAGTGGTGTAAGTGTGGCTGGGGGCGGGGCTAGTGGCCAGCAGCCACCACAACAGCAGCCTCGCATGGCCCGCTCACCCACGAATAACCTGCTGAAGCACAAGAGCCTTTCTTTGTCTATGCATTCACTGAACTTCATCACAGCCAGTCCAGCCTCTCAGTCCCAGCTTTCACCCAATGCCAAGGAGTTTGTGTACAACGGTGGTGGCTCTCCCAGCCTCTTCTTTGATGGGGCAGATGGCCAGGGCAACAGCACTTCGGCCCCCTTTGGGAGTAGTGGAGCTGGCACTTGCAACAGCAGCAGCTTTGATGTGTCCCAGGTGTTCGGAGGTGGCACTAACAGCCTCTTCTTGGAGAAAACACCCTTCGTAGAAGGCCTCAGCTACAACCTGAACACCATGCAGTATCCCAACCAGCCCTTCCAGCCTGTCGTGCTGGCCAACTGACCGTCTTCCTGTCTGCCAGGCCAGGAGCACCCACGACCACAGAAAAGAGAAAGGAAAGGCCAAACAAAAGAGGAAAAGAGAACTGTACAAAAAGATTCCAATCTTCTCATTCTCACAGCTAGGAAAAAGATCCGCCCAGGCACAGAGTAGGAGGGGGCTTCCAAAGCACAAAGTTGTGTGTAACTCAGCCCCCAACTATTTTCCTGCCTGCCCCTGATTTCATTTGGTTGGTTTGGGTTTTGGGTTTTTTGAGTTTTTTTGTTTTGTTTTGGGTTTTTTGTTTTGTTTTGTTTTTTGTTTTTATTTTGTTTTTTGTTTTGTTTTTTTGTTTTTTGTTTTTTTTGGG